GGTAAGGATCTACATGGTTCACCTCTTGGTTCCATGCACTGTTGACGACCTCCTTGAAGCTGGGCATCTTGATCCAAAAGTTTTCAAAGCGGAATGATTTGGTCCTCGGTGGCCCTTTGTCATTTGCGAGGAGGAGAGGGCAATGGTTGGAGAGCGACGAGGAGAGAGCATGTAGGAGGTGCGTGCCAAAGTGCAGGTCCCATTCTTCATTGCAGAAAAAGGAATCTAGCTTGCTTAAGGTTGGGTTGTTTCGCTCATTACTCCACGTAAACTTCCTGTTTTGAAGATGTATCTCTTTTAGCTCGCACGCATTGAGGGCGTTACGGAAGCGAACGATGCGACTTCGGTCAACATTCGCACGGTTCTTGTCTCTCGCGCGGTAAATTTGATTAAAATCCCCATTAACCAACCACTTTTCGCCAGGGTGGGGCTTCTCGCTGACCAATTCTTGGAAGAAGCCATCTTTAAGGTTGCTTCTCGTCGGGCCGTACACGGTTGTGAGCTTGAAGGATTCACCCGACGAGGATAGGGAGTGGCTGAGAGGAAGAAAGCACCAATGTTTACATCTTGGATTTTGACAAAATGTTCGTCCCAGAGAAGAAGGATTCCGCCTCGAGTGCCAACAGATGGGCGTTGAGCAAAACTCTTTAACCGATGTCCCCCTAGAAAAGAAGCAATGAACGGGTCGACATTCTGGAGCTTGGTCTCCTGGAGACACACAATGTGACACGGAGTGGCGGTGATGGTCTCATGGATGGTGGCGCGGCGATCGGGACAGTTCAAACCTCGGACATTCCAGCACAAAATACTCAAGTTTTGGTCTAACATAATTGATAGCAGATTACACCATGGCCAAGCTTGGCAGAACTAGCATCAGGAACACGTGGGAGCGTCACTAGAGCAGAATTACTTGACAGCAGATAGCAGATTACAACATGGTCAAGCTTGGCAGAAGTAGCATCAGGAACACATGGAAGCGTCACTAGAGCAGAATTACTTGACAGCAGCAAACAAACATGTACGTAAGCCTCGCCAGGGCAGGTAGCAGCGATCACCAGGACCAGCAGCAAACAGGCGAACACTCTAAGGGTTGTAGCTATCATTGGAAACAGAGTACGACCACAGTGGCCGGCCTCGTCCAGCTTACGCCGCCTCCTCGGCGACCTCCTCTCCAGGCCGCTGCAGGTCCGGTCCAGCTTCACCACCATGCTCCACAAGCGCATCTTCAACTACCTGCGCCAGGTCGCAGTCGAGGTCGAACAGGGCTCTAAGAGCAGAAATTGTGATGTCCGGCAGCCTCCCCTGGAACATGGCGACGAACTTGCCGATGGCCTCTTCGGTAACCTGCTGGCCCTCGTCGATGATGCCCATGCGTTGGCAGAGCAGCCTCTCTGCCATCTGTGCAACCGGCATCGCCCTCTTCTTGGTCTGAAGACGCGGACTACGCCTGCTCAGGTTGAAGCCCGAAACGCCTGCCAGCGTCTTCCGTCGAGCCGCAGGCCGTCTTGGAGGCGTGGAGCTAGGTGCAGGAAGCAGGGGTGGCTGACGAGCCACAAACAGCGGGGAGTGCACATCGGACGCTGCCTGGCTCCCAGGCGGGCTTGACATCGGGATGTGGACGGGTGTGACCGGCTCAGGCTCCACGGTCGGCGAGGGAGCAGCCCGGCGGGGCTGCCAGCTACTAGGAGAGGAGGACGGCTGCAGATGGATGGCGTCACGTCCCGTTGTGCGTGGGGAAGCGGGTGGCTGCACCTCAATGACATTGCTTCTCAAAGAGCGGGGGGAAGCCAGCTGGGTCTCCGGCGACGCGGGGCGAATCGAAGCTTGCCGCGCCTTGAGCCCAAAGCAGGGGGCGACCCACCGTAGCCAGGAAGCATCAGTAGGGGAGGAGCCGACCACCACGATGTCGCGGGAGGTGGTGCGCGGGGAAGGTGGCGGGGAGCGGCCGCGGGTTTCTTCAGTGACTGGGCTAGCAGCAGCACCGGGACGCCCCACCCTAGACACGCAGTCAGCAGGACGACGGCGGCCACGCAGGCCGAAGGCAGGAAGGACCGAGCCGTCCGGGAGACGCTGAACCCGCCTAAGGTCGATGGAGCGAGCGTCAGGGGTAGCCGCGCCGAGCCCCCTGCGTCTTCCATCACGGCCACCCCCCCGACGGTCGTCTCTGTCATCGTGGTGGCCGCCGCGGTGGTCACGGCGGTTGTCGTCGTCGCGCCGCTCCGGGGCGCGAGACCTGCTGCGGAAGACGCGTTCCCGCCAGGAGGAGGGTCGATCTTCACGGCCCCTACGCCCACGGTCACGGTCATCGTCCGTGCGGTCGCGGTCGCGGTCGTGGTCCTCATCTCTGCGCCGTCCAGCCATCTCCGAGTTGTCGCGCATCCTGGACTCGCCGTCGATGTATCCCTTCCGCCAGGTGAGAGGATGCGATGAGCGTGGCCGGCTGGGGACGTCGCCGTTGGCACTAGGGGTGAAATCCTCCACCATGGTGAGGTGCACCAGGACCCGCCTCTTCAGAGCACTCCTGCCCACAGCGGCACTCGGGCCCGAGGAGTAGCCCGCCGGCTGGTTGCCGGTGACAGTGAGGCGGAGGACCTTGGGGATGGCAGAGGGGTTGGCCGACCACGCCCAAAGGTTGAACATGGAGGCGTCCTCCCGGCGCACGGTTTCCACGTCGAAGTAATGGAGGAAGGTGTCGGGGCCGAGGACCTGGGTGGCCACCTCGTCGCACCAGGCATTGAGCGGGAGGTTCTCAATGCAGAGGTGGACGTGGTAGTACGCTTCCACCGAGTCCGCATGTGCCTCGAGACGCCACTTAGCAGCATGAATGTCGAGGCCGTCGTAGCCGAACCTCCCCGGTGACGCCGTGAGCAGGTCACGGTGGTGCTGGAAGGTGAAGAGGACGAAGAAGTCTTCCGGAAAGTGCAGCACCACTTTGATGTAGTTGCGGTTGATGACAAACTTGGTGGCGATGGTGTTCCTTATCTCCGCCGCGTCAACGCAGGGCCGGTTGCCTCCAAGCCACACCACCGCGCCCAGGTTGGACAGAGTGGCCGCACTGTCCTCCATAGCAGGCATGGAGGTGATGACGACATGCGCCTCCTCTGGACGCAGAGCGGGGTCACCCACGCGCGGCATCTCCGGAGCGCGAACACCCTTTTTTTATGTGAGAAGTGCACCCTCTGATTTTCAAAGCTTTTGTGTTTTTTGACGATTTAGGCTTAGCTTCACACCTTCGTAATTTAACCATCGAAGCCGAACTACAATGGAAAGTATTTTGAATACGGAGTGGTTTTGTTAAGAGTGTTTCAACTTTTTACAGGTGAGCTCACCATGCTTGAAGAGGCTGAAGTACCTGGTTTTTACTCCCTCCGCCTCTTTGCAAGCTAACCATTTTTTAGAAAGAAACATTGAAACTTTGAAAGGGCATTTCACATCTGATAATTATCAAGAAAAACAATAGTCAGTGCAATGGAAAGATCGTAAAACTAAACTTACATCAAAAATAAAGATGACAGAATACTTTATAACCAATATACTCCCTCCGTCCTTTAAAGATTATACTTCTAACTTTGTCGGAAGGTCAAACTTTTTCATATTTGATCGTATTACTGAAAAAGAGTTTCTCCGCTGTGTATTTCAAAGCAAACCATCATTGTCCACATCGCAATGCTGGGCGAGCAGCACATCAAGCCCAAAGAAAAAGAAGAAGAAATAAATGCCAAGGCAGCTCGATAAAGCGCGGAAGACCCGCGACCGCTGCGCCTTCCGGAAACAAACCACCACAGCCCGAGGCTCCGGTCTACCGCGAACTAAGCAACACCTCCAAGAAGGGATGCGACGCCAACAACGTTGCTGCCCGGACAAGTCCTAGGGTTTCCTGCAGTACGCGGAGGGAGGCGGGGGATAGCTACTCCCGACACTCTCCAAGAAGGGATAGTGGCACCCACCGGTGTCACCGCATTGGAGCCAGACGAACTGGCAAGGATTTCTCCCGCACGCCAAACCCCACTGGACAACCGGAGCCGACCAGCCAAACCATCACCCAACCATGCGCCATCACGGTTGCGCCGCCACCAACGTCGTCTCGCTGTGAGCACCAGAGGCCAAGAAGACCGGAGAGAAGATTCAAGCGTCGGGAGCAGCAGCACCAAGGCCGAGCGGGAGGGAACCACCTCCACCGCCGTCATGTGGGAGGACCGCGCCTCCGGCACCATCGCGGTAGCCGTCTGGACACGGCAGCGGGGCATACCGGGCCACCCCTGGCCCGGCCAGGCCCGCTAAGCCCCGCCGGCCACGCTGCAGCAGGCTGGCATCGACGCCGCCAACACCCGCCGTTCATCGCCGCTCGCCACCGCCTCTTGAGGGCCACGCCTGACGTCAGCCCGCCCCGGCCCACGGGCCTAGATCTGGGCCAAGGCGGGCGTCGCCAGCCCGCGCCGCCGCGCTGCCCCCCGCCGCCGCCCAGAGCTCGCCCCCGCCCGCGACAGGAGCCCCCGCCGCCGCCTGAAGACACCGCCCGGAGCCGCTCCGTCTCGCGCCGGAGAAACCCTAGGTAAGGAAGGGCCGGGGCCCACCGCCGCCAACGTCGCTTGGGCCAGGCCCGCGGCAGGCGCCGGCGCCGGCGGCAGGGAGGAGGAGGAGAGTAGGGGAACGCTCACGGGGAAGGAGGGGAGGCGGGGGCGACGCGGTCGCGGTCGAGACCTATCCTCTCCTCTAATCGAACAAGTCCTGTTACCACGCACTTTTGTATTTCACTTCCAATATCTTTGATCGTATTTATATAATAATACACCAACATTTATGAAATTAAATTAGTGGCATTAGATTCATAATAAAATATATTTTCATCATATGCGTATTTGGTTTCAAAAAATTTACCTATTTTTGCACAAACTCGATCAAACTTTATGATAGTTTGACTCTCCAGTAAAATTGGAAATACATTCTTTAAAGAACGGAGGGAGTATACCATTTTTTCGTGCAAATGTTCAACGGAAGAAATGTTCATTATTCGGACTCTGATGCTGGAAATGACTCCCATCGTACGGCCGAAAACCTGTCCGATGAAACCAACGCGAGGGATCGGGCAGTGGTTGGTGGCCCATTCTTTTCTTCCCACTCCCCCTCCCCCCTGCCCTTCCGCCAAAGCGTCAGCCGCCGCCTTGCCATACCTCGTCGTCACCGCCGGCGCCGCGACCTCAATCCCGCGCCCTCCGCCATCTTCTTGGGGACGCGCGTCGACGCCGCCGCCGCCGCCGTTCCCCTTCTTCCCCGGCCTCCGGGACATCCTGCTGCTGCCTCCACCTCGTCCCAGTCTTTGGCCACTGGGCCTCCTTCCTTCGTTCGAGGTACGAGCAGCAGCTAGGTTGATTTCATCCAGTGGAGCATCACTTGTCTTAGTTGTTGAATCAATAGATGGATCCCACTACGGTAGGGAGTGGGGAACTTCACAATTTCTGGGTGCACAACCCGGCGACCAACTAGATCCGCCCCTGGATCACGTATTAGTGTCCAAGATCTGGATCAATTGTATGCTCCCGTAGTGTGGCATCAGGCCGTTCTACCGATGCTTGCAAGAGTTTATTATTATTATTATTTTACAAATCTAATGCAATTCTGTTCCTACAGTTGGACATGGCATCATCTGCTACCATCAGTTCAGTTGGCGCTCAGGCCGCTCTGGTTTCAAAGCCAAGGAATCATGGTATCAGTGGCTTAAAGGCATCCTCATCAATTAGCTTCGAATTGGGATCCTCATTCCTGGGCAAGACCGGGTCTCTTCGGGAATCTGTAACCACAAGGGTTGCGCCAAAGGCGAAGTCCGCGGCTCGGATACTACCGGAGGCATCTTACAAAGTGGCGGTACTTGGTGCTGCTGGGGGCATCGGCCAACCATTGGGCTTGTTGATCAAGATGTCCCCTCTGGTCTCAGAACTGCGCCTGTACGATATTGCGAATGTCAAGGGAGTCGCCGCTGATCTCAGCCACTGCAACACACCCTCTCAGGTTATGGACTTCACTGGCCCTGCAGAATTGGCCAGCTGCTTGAAAGGTGTGGATGTTGTTGTCATCCCCGCCGGGGTCCCAAGAAAGCCAGGGATGACTCGTGACGACCTTTTCAACATCAATGCGGGCATCGTCAAGTCACTTATCGAGGCTGTTGCAGACAATTGCCCTGAGGCCTTTATCCATATTATCAGCAACCCAGTCAACTCCACAGTGCCGATTGCTGCTGAGATTCTGAAACAGAAGGGTGTCTACAATCCCAAGAAGCTTTTTGGGGTTTCCACCCTAGATGTTGTCCGGGCTAACACATTTGTAGCTCAGAAGAAGGGCCTCAAGCTCATTGATGTTGATGTCCCAGTTGTTGGTGGTCATGCTGGAATTACAATCCTGCCTTTGTTGTCAAAGACGAGGCCATCTGTCACCTTCACGGACGAGGAAACTGAACAGCTGACGAAGAGGATACAGAACGCTGGGACAGAGGTGGTGGAGGCGAAAGCGGGTGCTGGATCTGCTACCCTGTCCATGGCTTATGCTGCTGCCAGATTTGTCGAGTCTTCGCTCCGCGCACTGGCTGGTGATCCAGATGTTTACGAGTGCACGTATGTTCAGTCTGAGTTAACTGAGCTGCCATTCTTTGCGTCCAGAGTTAAGCTTGGGAAGAATGGTGTTGAGTCCATCATTTCTTCTGACCTGGAGGGAATAACCGAGTATGAGGCCAGTGCACTTGAGGCATTGAAGCCTGAGCTGAAGGCCAGCATTGAGAAGGGCATTGAGTTTGCGCACAAACAACAGGGAGCTGCTGCCTCTGTTTGAGTGAGGAGAATGATAATTCCATATGAAGAGGACAAAGGCAAACTGATTGTCCTTTTCTAGTTTTGCAGCCTAGAGTGTGGACATGTAGCACTATGCCCTGGAGCAGCTATATTTCTGAATTGTTGGTCAGTTTATTATGATTCCAGTTTACATGAGGGCGTGAAGCCCCAAACGTGCACCCTGTTCTGGGTCCTTGTTTTGTTTGACACATAAATTTTGGTCCTGTTCCACCTGCTGTTCTTGTAGCTTCCTAAGTTGACGAACTGTGGAATAATAATAAAGCCCATCTTTGATCGTTACCAAGGCACACCATGTAGATCCGCCCCTGCTCGTGGCATCATATTGTATGGTGTCATAGGTTACTAATTGCTGTTGTAAGATGAGCCAGTGGGATGAATAATACTTTCCGCAAGATTTTTGTGCAACATCATCGTACAGATGGCCCCCTTTGTACAGATCCAGGATCTGATTGTCTGAGTATCATACAACTGTCATCATGTTCTGCATAAGCATAAATTATTCATCCATATCAGGAGACAATTGCTGCATTCTGAATAGATGATTATGCTAATTAGGGGAATTTATCTCCTGATACGTTTCATTTGTTTGCATTTCATAGTCTCGTGGAATAAATGTCTTGAGTATTTGTGCGTAGTCTGGGATCAAAGCCCTGGTGCTTTCAGATGGCAGGGACAGGCATGGTAAAATTCTCAACTTTTTATTCGGCTCTTCCCTATGCACCCTACCTTTTTCTCTGTTAATTTAGTTTTGATTTCTACAGTATACATGCTCGCTCCCTTATACTGGTATAAAGAATTTGGGCCGTGTTGTCTTGTTCCTGCTGTTGTTTTGCTAGGTGAAACCTGGAAGGATTAGGGGAGAAAGCAGGGGAAGAGTTAGTTGATGTTCTTGGGTTTCTGGTCAAAAGATTGGGTGAAGTTCAAGCCTTGAATGTGTTAAAAGGATATGCATTTTGTGCTGTCCTGATCAGCTCTATTTCCTTTTTAGGTGCGCTTCTTTCTACTAGTCAAACCCAGTATCTTGAGCTCCTAGCAGCGTTTTTGTTCCAAATGCAAATCAAACAAGAATGGAGCCTATGACTCCGTGGCTTGAAACTGGGACCGGGAGAGCAACCGTTCGTGTTATTCTGAACGAATACTTGCAGTTCTACTGCCATGTAAGCAATTTTTGGAGTCATGCACCGTATCTCTGTTCAAATTGTGGAGCAAATGTTCTTCTAGATGTGGTATTTCTTTAGTGATTTTTCTAAAGCCTCTGAGGTGAGCTCCAACACCATACCCCAAACCGCCCTTAAACGTCCGGATCATGGGGTCTGGATGTTTTTCTGCCATCCAAGACCGTGCCGCAAATGTCCACGGGAGCGTCCGTGTGCCCGACTTCCTGCAAACCGACACCAACCCAAGGGGAGATTCGCGAGTGTATGGACCTCTGTCACGTAGGATTCCAACGCCACTGGCTCACCCGGAGCCGTAGGTTTCTCACATTGTCCCTCCCCCTATTCTGTATCCGCTCCCTCCTAGACCTATGTTGTCGTTGTACCACCTCGGCCGCCCGCCCAAGCCTTGTCGAACCTCAGCCATCCCACCCCATGTGTCTGCCCGCCTTGGAGTCTGCCGTTGTTCTACCCCTCGTCCGTCCACACCTGTAGATGTCGTCCATGGAGAACACCACTCCCGGCAAGTGCTTGGTCAAATGCCATAGCGAAATTGTTGACAATTTTTTCCATACTTTGAAGCAAACACGATGGATTCGGACACAGGGTACTTCTACAACAACTTCATGGAGGACGAATACAAGAATTAAACGGCGATGATGAGGGTGGTCCTTGCAGACACGAATTCTCAATTTCAAGGGGGCAATCAAGGGACATCGAGTGTTGGACTAGAATAGGGCACGGGGCCATTTGATGCTGATGAACGACTACTTTGTCACCGATGCCTTATTCGCGGACCATTTTCGCCGGTGCTTTCTGATGCGGAAAAATGTTTTTGATCGCCTCTATAATGGTGTCCGAGCCTATGATAACAACTTCATCTTGAAGAAGGACGTTGTTGGAACCATTGACTTCTTTAGTTACAAGAAGTGCATGGCTGCATTGAGGATGCTTACTATGGCACGACCGCATATTCGTAGCACGAGTACCTCCCGATGTCTGAAGGTACATGCGGAGATGCCATGATCAAGTTTGCTACTGCGGTGGTCCAGATGTTTGGACAGTAGTACTTGAGAGAATCAACTGTCGTAGACACCGAATGCCTCATAGCACTCTCAGTAGCAAGAGGGTGGCCATGTATGCTAATATCCCTTGATTGTATGCGCTAGAAATGGAAGAATTGTCATATGGTAAACAAGGGCAATATCTAGGTAATGTTAAGAAGACAACCATCATTCTTGAAGCAGTTGCATCACCAGGCTTTGGATTTGACACTCTTTATTTGTAATGCCCGGATCTCACAATGACATCAATGTCCTGCAACGGTTTCCATTGTGTGCTAGGTTGACTGTGGGGCAAACTCCTCCATGCAATTACAACATCAATGGTCGTGATCATAATATGGGCTATAATCAAATAAATGGTATCTATCCTCCATGGGCGACCTTTGCCAAGACCGTCTTTGAGCCAAGTACTCACAAAAGAGCTCACTTTGTCTAAAGATAAGAAAGAGCTAGAAATGATGTAGAGAAGACGTTTGGAATGCTCCAAGACTGTTTTGCAATTATGGGATTCAGACACGTTTGTGGAGGGTGATGACAACTTGTATGATCATGCACATCATAATTGGAGAATGAGGGTGAAGGATTTGACGGAGGTCTGAAATTTGAGCACATGGGTGATCTATCCAACTTCCTGAGCAGAGTCAGATGATGTTCCAGGATTTTAGCCAAATGCATCAATGGATTCGACATCAAGGAACTCATGAGTAGCTTCGGAATGATCTGATTGAGCATATGTGGTCGCTTAAAGGGGAGAACTATAACATATGTGCAGAGAAGTTGAATTCAGATTTGAACCACTTTATTTTAAAACTTCATGTTAAGATTGTGTTAGTGTTGATCTCCTGTTAGTTGGCCCAACGGCCAACTAGACCCTTGACTCAGTCCTGATCGGGGACACTCAACTCGACTGGGTTGCGGGCCCCCGTCGCGCAGCTCCGGGAGGTGGGGGCTACGAGTGCATTAGGCCAAGAATGGTTTGCACCCCACCTGCCCTGCCTACTGATCGAGGCGGAGCTGACAGCGGTGGGAAGCTCCGCCACCGCCATCTCTCTGTCCACTCATCGTCAGTGTCACCATCCCACCATGGCCACTGGCAGCGGTTCATCGCACCAGGAGAAGGTAATACCTATCACTACTACCGAAAATCTCAGGCCCATCTGATCCAGAGGATCTATCAATGGTATTAGAGCCACTCTTTGGCTGAGTTTTTTCGGGTAGCAATAGAAACAGAGAAAGAAAGATCCCTCCCTCCCCCCAAGAACCCTAACCCCAAAACGAAAAGTGGGGAAAAGAAGGGCAAAGAAAAGTTGCGCCGCCGCACCGGTCGTGCCGTTCCTCTCGATCCGGACGGGCATCGGCAAGCCGAGCCGTTCGGAAGAAGAACACACCCTGCAAAGGGCAAAGGGGCACCGCTGCCACGCCGTTCGACGGCGACGCGCTTCCGCTGAGGGAAACGCGTCACCGGTGAAGGGGAGGCAATGGCGCCAAGGATCGCCGCCGTCGCGCACAGGGGAGCAGAAGTGGGCTTGGCTCGCGCTTTCTCCCTCCGCGACGCGGTGGACAGACGCACAGAGGATGGGGAAAGAAGCGTCCAACCTCGCGCGATGGTCGTTGACGCCCTCGCCGGAGCGCTGGCGCTGCGCGATGCCCACGCGTTCGGGACAGAGCAACAGATCAGAGGAGGGGCTCGCCCCTAGTCCTCTCTACAACAGAAAAGGGAAGCTGGAGGGAGGAAGAAAGAGGGAAGAGAAAGAGTGCGTCGCGCCGGGCAGATTCGCCGTCGGCGGCTGGCCGGTGGCCAGTGAGCTCCGCCCCGAGCGGGCGAGAGCGGCGCAAGAGAGATGCGTAAGGAGGCGGAATGAGCGCTAGGTTTCGTCCCGAACGGCGCGGCGGGCAAGGTTTTGTTCGGGCGCAAAGCCCGCTTAACCGTACGATCAAATCCGACGCCGTGGATTGAAACCCTAGCGCGCCGCCGGGCCAAGTGGGCCGAAAGTGCAAGCGGGCGCAGCCAAGTGCTGGGCCACGGCCAGCAACCGCGGGCGCAGTCGCGCGGGCACTGGGCCGAGGTGGCAGCTGCGGGCGGCCCAGGGCGAGTCGAGGTTTCTCTGTTATTTGTTTTTTACAGAGCAGTTTTTTAATAGTTTTTGTCAAGTTTTTTCTGGCAGATTTACAATAGGTTTTCTATGCAAATTTTTCCAATGAAAATTCTGTTTAAAAAATAGAAAAAAAAGTAAACAGAAAAGTTTCTGAAAATAAGAATAGAAAATTTTCAGAAAAAGAAATGTTCATGAATTTTAGAAAGAAAATAATAAAGTTCATGTTTTTTTTACTTGGTAAAAGAAAAGTTTCTGTAAATAATAAAAGGTTCATGAATTTTATATTCATGTTTTTCCGCTGCGTAAATTATTAATAGTGCTCTTTTACAAAGAAAATAAAAGTTTAGATAGAATTAAATTTAAGGAGCACATTAAAGTGATTATTAAAATGAATATGATTATGTTATTTTTTATGACCAATGTTGTTATTAACATAATCGTGTTTTATTATTGAAACTAAAGGTGCATTTATTTCTATTCTTTGTCCAAAAGTGATATAGTTTTAATTGCATAAACAGTAAAGGCCTATGCGGGCGGGTGCATATTGACCATGTGTCAATTTTGCGGCTGGGCCGCATGCACAAAGTACACCTTGTCAGTCAAAGTCTATTCTTCCAGAAGCATATTTTTGATGAATTATTGATCTCTACTCAAATTGAACCAACG